CCCCCCCCCCCCCCCGAGATCCAGATGCTGTTATGTCTAACCACTTGGGTACTATGTGCGAGGTAAAGCCTAATCCCCTGAACCTTCAGTCGGAGCTGCTGATTACCCACTTACAAAAGGATAAGGCCCACTAAAACCACCTCCAGATTCATAATGCAGCTGAGTACAGCAATCATAATTTGCGGCTGTAATAATAAAATCCTTTATCTATTTTTAGTGAGAGCTAATAGGCTTATAGACAAAGCCAGGGGTTACCAGGTGTTACTGCCGATATTCTGGATTTACAATATCCTGCCCATCGCTGTCTTTGCAGCTGAAGCGGCAAAAAAGCACTACGTGGGTCGACATTAACAGCTGACAGTTACCTGCCCGAGGTTCCACTGTCCGGTTGCCATTTGGGTCCATGAAGATAAATCTCCCTCCGGTGAAGTCAGAGCCGTAGTCAGACAGGTACAGCAGTGAGGTGTAGTCAAAGGAGCCGTAAGTCACCTGATGGAGAAAGACAGAGGAAGGCAGTGTCTGCATTAATCTGAGATATATATTTTCCATTAATAAGGACATGTTCGCATGCAAAAGCACTGACCTAAGATGGTCTTAGGTCAGCGCTTGTGCATGCCAAAGCCTGGATGTTTTACTGATGAGAGAAAAAAAAAAAAAAAGGAGAGACTATTATCTTTGACTAAATGCATATTGTTTAACAAGGCAATTAAAATGCCGACTGGGGGAGCTGGGGATCGACTGCTGATCTTCCGATTAGAGGATGACCCGCTCTATCCCTGAGCCTCAATCATACTGCCATTAACTCATGGAGTAAATAAGAAGGCACGACTCTGTGGAATTCCATAACCAGCCAGCTCAAAGCAGATCCAAGATATTAAAACAGTCAGATTGACCCATACAAGGGACTTATGCTGCGTTCCTTTTTGAACTGGGAAGTCGGAAATCCAAACTGGAATGCAGCCTGAAGTCGGATTTCTGACTCGGAAAATTCGGCACCGACCCCACCAACCCCCGACAGTAAAAAAGCTTTAGTAATATTCTGTTTATTAGCATTTCTGTCTTACTTGCGTCTCATTTAATCAGTCACACATACAGTGCTGTCCAACTTCTATGTGTTGGCATGTAGCTACGGTGTTTGTATGACCACACAGAGCCTCCAAAGCTCGGCTTTCCCGCCACTGCAGCGTCTCAGCCACGCTTGAGGCCACACTGTCAGACATCCTGGTTGGAGAGAGTAATGTGCTCTCTTCTCTCGTTGGCTCACTTGCTGCTGACTCCTCACCTGAACTGCTCTCCTCAAAAGGCCTTTGGGACTGATTAAATACAGCAGAGTCTTGAAAAAAAAACCCTGTAAGCTTTTTGCACTAACATGAACCTCATAATATCCAAAAGGGATACATAAAATGTGGGCATACTTTGCAAGTCACACTGGTGCAACCGTTTATGCAACTAAATGGATTGTGGTTTTAAGGCAGGCCTGCAATCTGGAGCCCCGCCTTAAGATAAACAAATAAATTGATGCCAAATGGGACTGTGCTGTGGTGGGCTGTTTATGCTGCACAACAGCACCAATAAGAGATGCTCAGATCTTAATGACACATCAAAGAGTGAGTTGACGAGGAACCGCGAGTGGCTCTCTTTTCAAAGAGTCAGAGAGTCATTTTAGACGGAGCGCTTTCACTCGATCTCACCTCAAAGTGAACTGCTGGGAGTTCCAAGAGTCGCCGAAAGAACTTCACACCACCCCGGTTCAGAGAACACACTCATTGTGCAACTTTCCAACAATTCATTTATATGAATTATCAGCTTGTATTTGTCAGGACATCTCGTAAGGGTCCCCGTTAGTTCATCATTAGAGAAGAAGAGATTTTTATCCACTCTATTCGACTTTTAAGCCAAATAGACTTGCCGCCACTTTTATAAGCTGAAGCTCTCGGTGCCTGTAGCCCCACACAGGTATATAACCGCCACCACTGGCATTAATTACTTTTTTGGGCCACACATATCAGCAACATATTCATTTGTTACGGTGAATGTGCGAGCTAACGTTTTCCAATCAGCACATCCAGCAAAACGGAGCGACATTAGTCCAATATTCACTCTTTTGGTTTCTACCAACCCCTGTAAAAACAATCTGGCTCTTTAGCTGCTAAATGCTCCACTATGTTTACTAGCTAGTCGCCAACTTTGCCTGCCTGCTGTTTGGTTCTGGGCAGGTAGCTTTATGGGCGAAAGCAGTTGCCTTTTGCAGTTAGACAACGAGGTCAATGCGAGCAGATTCTGTAGGCCAGACAACCAAAACAATGTCCTAAAAGATGCTCAAATGTGACATAGAAGTGAGATGAAAATTCAGCTCTTAAGGGTTGGTTTACCAAAAATACACAAAAACAATTTCTCAAATTGTCAATCACTTGAAAAGAGTGTCTGAAGGCAATTTTACAGGGATGACGAATACTCTATTTACTTCAGCAGCAAGACAAGACAAGGTCAGGAATGAAAGAAAAAATACCGCATTTGACATTAGCGTCTGCAACTATATTTCAGTTTCATTAAGATGGCAAGATCATCCCTGCCATTACGACTGGTGCTATGACACCGTATCAGCGACATGATCGATGGGGAGAAAATCCACCACCAAAGACGTCTGAGGCCATTTACATTTAAATGAGGGTTAGGTTAGCCCAGTGGTTCTCAAACTGTGGGGCGCAGCAGTATTGCAGGTGGGGCGCAGGGGGAAATTTTTTTATTTCAAGAACTTTATTCATACCTGCAAACTTGAAATTCGCCGTTTTGAATCAAAATATATCATCCACGTGAATCGTGTAGATCCATAGAGGGTTTTTTTGGGGGGGGGTGGTCAACTGGCCAGCCAGCGTTTCTCAGATTGGCGTGAGACGAGGAGAAAAGGTGATGTCGTGATCTTCACAATAAAACATCTCTGATGTGACGTGTCGAGTCTTGGCCAATCAGTGTCAAGATGTCTACACCGTCTTTCCCTCCGTTACAGTTTAAGTTACGTTATGTCCCGTTACCGTTCAGACTTGCTGGGTTGAGTTAATGTCCACTGCATGCGGAACTTCGTGGACTGTTAACTTTCTTCATTATCATGATATAGGAGGAAAAAACGTAACGTGATGAAACATGAAGCCCCCCCGTGTTCCGGTTCAGTTCACGCGGTCACTCGTTGACGTTAAACCAGAACACCGGCGGATCTGGTTGCAGGTTGTTTGTTTTAACTCAAAGTAGAATGAAAGGCCCAGATACTGATGAGGTCAAAGAGCTCCAGGGAGAGGATGCTGTTTGTGTAGCGCAGCTTGACGCAGGGCTGAGATGTGAGTGGAGCTGGGTCTGGATAAAGGTGGAGGTCTAAACAGACGTGAGTGCAGCTTCCTGCTGTCACAGTATTTTAAATTCATTGATAAGGCAGGGTATGCTAAATGTAGCCTCTGCTCCAAGGAGATAAAGTACAGCAACAAGGGCTCACATGTCCTCTCATCACACTGTACACACTGTTCACTGTGATGACCACAGCCAGTGTACTAACAGTTCCAACAGTCCCACGTGCTGTTAAATCACAGCTATTTTACTTTTAGAACGCTACATTTTAAAGCTCATATTTAAAATAAAAGGCGTATATCTGGAGCATTTTGTTTAGTTTTGCACAGGTTGCACGTTATTGTTGTTTTGAAAAGATATGCAGTGTAAAACTTAGTAAAACTCTTTATTGCCAAATATTTTAACTTGTTTTGTTTAGTTTTTCACAGGTTGCAGTTTATTGTTACTATCTTAGAAAGATATTCAGTGCAAAACAGGTGAATTGCTGCCACAATAAGCTATTTTTTGTGGGCGGTGGGGCATGAACATTTTTCTTCCTCCAAAGTGGGGCGTGACAGAAAAAGTTTGAGAACCACTGGGTTAGCCAATTAACACCAAAATTGCGGCAGAGACAGATGGGGAAGAGACATGGGTCCTAACAGATTACTTTATTCCAGCTGTCGAGGGCCAGCGGGAGAGGATGAGGTGACAAATATTAATAAGGAAGAAGGCAACTGCAAACACTCCAAGCTCCAAGAAATAGCACGAGCAAAGTAAATATGGACTGTTGGCCTCTTTCTCATTTCAGAGAGGAACACAGGCAAATATTGAGGCAGATGCTTCAAAAGCTTTATGAATGGTGCCAATACACAACATCCCCAGGCCTATATATAAAAAAGAAATCTTTACAAAAACAACATTCAGGGATGTCAGCTGTATTTCAGCAATTATCCATTTTAACATTAAATAAGAACAAATATATACTCCCAATCAGAGGAAACTCTAATAAATCAGGAGTTACCCACTATAATAAATTCCACTTTTTAACTAAATAAGTTGTAAAGCATTGAAACTGCCCCCCCTCCCCTCCCCTGACACACATCCCACTTGTTTGAAACTTGCCTCAAGGTCTTCTATGAATCCCGGAGCAACTTTAACGTCTCATGCCAATGAACAAGGTGCAAAGTGTGAGGCAAGGATTAAAGCAGTGACAGAAAAGCTGCTCACCATGAATATTTATAGAGAATCAACGATGTATCACGTGAACAGTTCACATAACACAACAGAGGCATGGGCTCTTGTTTCTTGCCTCCTCGTGTGCCGTGTGAAGGGTGAATAAGCGTGTTTCAATTGAGTCAAACCACTTTTCCTTACATTTCTTCTGCTCTTCTGAAAGTGCAGCAACTTTGCTGAGAAGCTCAGTCCCCTGGGTGGTTATGCATTCGTTGCTGAGCTAACGCAGGTCGGGTGATTTCTTTCATGACGACAACTATTACCGTCTGCCGATTGTACGCCTCCACCAAGTTATGTCGCAGTTTACATCCATGTCTATCCAAAATGTTGTCCCTTCATCATTTTATGTGAAATGTGTCATAACAAGCACATGAATTCTTGAATTCTTAACTGCCAAATTCACTTCAGTCTTGGAGTCCAAGTGGACGTTTGTGCCTAATGTGAAGAAATTCGCTCCTTCTTGAGATCGTGCCTTCACGAGAATGGGACGGACGGCCAGAAGGACGCAACCCCCTCCTCCCACTGTGCCTGAGGGTGAGCCCAGCTGCCCTTTGGAAACTCACTTTGGGAGCTGAAATGGGATTGTTTCCATTTCTACACAAACCTAATGAACAAAGGGGAGGATTGGACGGTAGATTGACTGGAAACTGGAGAGCTTTGCTTTCAGGTTAAATCAACCCATTCAAGATATCAAGACATTTCCCATCAGCCCTTTTAATGGGAGCAGATGTAATCCAAGCCATGTCATTAGGGATGCACCGATCCAGATGTTTTTGCTCCCAGTAAGAACTCTACAAATCCTCCCCAGTTTCACATGTAGCAGATTGTTATCTGTTTGATGACGTCAATATCGCCCCCTGTGCAACCCAAATCTACCAGACTCCTGCTTCTCAACGAGGTCACGGCTCTGCTTTTATGCATTACCTTATCTATGTGTGGGTGCCAGTACTCGTCGTGCTGGGTCTTCGCTATCGTGCTGTTGATTCTGGAGAAGAAGGTGGGCTTGGTGAGGTACATCAGTTTTGGGTCCAAACCAAAGGTCTCAGCAATAACTGCCTGTATTCGCTCACGTACACTTCTGAAACGGTGAAAAACAAACAGACAGATGAGAGTCAGATTGAAAGATCGGACTTAATGACTTAAGGAAGTATGATTTATAACCGTCATAGAGTGAGCAACACTCTACAAAGTGCCATCATTTGAGTTTATGTCACTTTTTTTTAATTTTAAATAAAATGTCATGGAATTTTGGTGCAAAAAAACTTTTTTGATTAAGATTCCTTATTCACCTGTACAGCTGGAAATCCTCTTGTGTGAACACATCACTGAGCTGGTCCCCAAAATACCTGCAGCCACAATCACAGACAGAAAGTTACGCACGCAGACAAAGACACACATGAGCAGACCGACACAAACACGAGCACAGACACGGGAAAGAAAGAAGAAGAAAAAAAGAGAGAGCAGAGGAGATGGGGCCTGTTAGCATAAATCAACGTTTCGCCGCACGGCACAGTGCACCATTACCCAGACGGGTGTGCCACCCAGCCATCCAAACACAGCAGATAGTAATCGACTGACTGCTTCACATGAGGGAGTCCCCAATGAGGGGTGAAGGGTGGGAAGCTGGCTGGGAGTGCCATCGTCATCGCTTCCTGATTAAAATCGGCCAAATGGTCCCTGAGGAGCCCGTGTTGGAGAGAGATATTGGGGGAGAGGGTGGGGGGGACTGAGGGAGAAATTAATGAAGGGAGGAGGTGTGAGGGAGGGAGGTGCAGGTGATCCAAAAAAAAGAAGAAAACTGGGGTTCTGCTGGCAGTGATGAATGAGGGTCGTATGGGTCACTGGAGCTGGAGAGGACAGCTCACAAGGACCGGCATCAGTACGATTGATGGCTAACGCTATATATATTTTGGTGAATGTGTTTATGCTAATGTTACAAATTATGCAGGGTGTCATTCCCGCTGGCATAAAATGAGTGTACACACCGAAAAGAACAAAGACAATATGTCCTTTCCCACCTGTAGATGTTGACAAACTGTTTACCCATCGACAACGCTCCAGAGTGAAGGTCCAGTATGGAAGCCTGGAGGCGTTAAACGGAAGAAAAAAAAATAGGAATTAGTGCAAATTAAATATCAGTGGGACTAATAAACGCTGGCAGTTGATGTCATTGTTTCAAAGTTTATCGCTGCTCCCTCTGTGGCGTTCTCGTTCTGCCCTTTACTTGTTATTGCTTTTCAACTCCTTTGGGACCCTGCTCCGATTTTCACAAGCTAAAAAAAGAAGCTATTTTCTCTGAAGCTTCCCCCCCCGCCGTTGCTCCCCTTCGCTTAAGTGTCTTAACACTCCATAAACAGTCCCTTTATTAGGCTGAGGGCCTAAACTGCTGGGGACGGAGAGCAGGGGATAGGGCGTCCAGGGCATCTGGACGTAGACGACTCCAGGTTCTATCTGCTCATCAAGCCGGAGCTCCGCATATTGCGGCAGCCTGCCTCCTAGTGTCGAGCGAGGTTCCTTACAGCAGGGAGTCTGTGTATTAGGGAGCATGCTGTATGTGGGGAAAGTCGGGACAAATATGGGATTTCTAAGCTGATGCTGGTGGCAATAGCTCTTAACTGAAGTAAAGAATATTGGAAACACTGCCATGGCAAATTCAGATAATATAGGACAGATCATAATTACATTCAGGGTTAACTCACTGTAGTGATAATAATAGTCGTATTCTTTCCTGCAGACTTTGCAAAACACTCATAAGGCAGCAATGATCCACGAGTATTTCCCTCCCCATTCCTGTGAACCTGTACCAACAAAGTTATTCTTGGCTGGATGTCCGCAGGACCCGGGACACCGGGATTCATGTAGGCGATTCGATTTTTTAAATGTCCCTCCTTAAGTGTTTTAATCATAGGCTGTATATAAGAAGTGGACGTAGTCGTCGTGACGTCACCCATTGGTTCGTGGACTTCCGTTTTAAAGCCTTGAGTTCGGCGATTTCGCTGTCGCAAAGAACATCATACTGTATTGAAGAAGACTTTGAAACTAGAGATTGAGACCATAAACTCATCTTTACAATGTTTACTGAGGGAATAAATCACGAGACACTTCCGCATTGGCTTCCCTCGGCAGAACCGGAGGGGGACTGGATTCGGGTTTTGAGATACAACTACTCGGAAGTCGGGACTGTCCTGAATTTTCCGGGATGTTTATTCCAACAATTTAATTTGCCGTTATACTCACTCCTCCCTCTGACCCGGCCAGCGCCAGCCCTCTCTCAGCCAGCCTGTGAGTCGGAGACAGAAAGCATGATGAATGATTCCGCTGTGCTACAGCGATGGAGGACAGAGAATGGTGACACAACGAGGGGAGAGCAGAGAGAGACGCGCTGCCCATCGTAGGACTAAAGTGTTTACCTCCTGAGGAGCTGAGCTTCCTCCCTCGTCACCACGCCGTCTGTGACCGCGCGGCCACACTTCTGAGGGGTGCATCCTGGGAGAGAGACATGTGAGAGAGGATTTAGAAATCAATGGTGGGAGAAGCCTCGGGTGCTTTGGGCCTCGCGTGCTCGGAGCGTGAGCCCCCCCGCTGTGTTTCCTTTAGACACTGGAGCCGCACCGTTTGAACTCCCAGCGGCCTAATGTGTTTGAAAAGACAAATTTCCAATTTGTTCTCTTCTTTCTGCCAAGGATGTTCTCAAAGCGGTTTCACATTTCACACATTTATACAGTACATTTGGAAGTGTCTGCTTTAAAGTGAGCAGTGGACGGATCTGGAGGGAATCGTGAGTGCACTGATGCCAATAACGGAGCAGAATACTTCCTTTCTTTTCATTTACTATTTGTTTAATTCCAGGCGGAAGGAGACAAATCTAAGTCATTCTTCTCATGTCAGATCAGTCTGTGAAAATAAACAGTGCCCCTCGTACAAGCACATCCTCATATTTTCAACTTTCCTTCATGCCAACAATGCGGATGAATAAATGAATACCCAGCAAAACTTTTACATTCATCATGTGAGCAAGTAGATATTAACAGGAGAGACCCAACTGAACTGCTTTTCATTCTGCAGAAGCAGAATTATTCATCCAATAAATAATGAAACTGATGAGGAACAGTTATGCAAAAGATGGGTGAGAATGATAAAAAGCAAATTGCTTTAACAGAATAATGAAGCCCTCAATATTACATATTCCATGTCTGAGAAGGGCTTCTGAGTTGGGATTGTTTATTCAAACTACTATTTCCAAGACAATGGAAAAAAACATTATGCTTATTTTTTTTAATTTTTGAACCTTATTTCAGTTTAGTCTTAAGTTTGGGGGGGAAACTGCACTTTTCACTTTACAGTGAAGTTTCACTTCAACAAATAACGTCATCAGAGATGCTCTGCTCCCTGCTGTGCTCTGACCACGGTGACAGTTCATGAGTATGAATGAACACATGTCTACGTAGGTGTGTTCGAGGTCTCTTGGCTTTTTAGCCTCGTATCTAAGTGCACAAACAAACTGGTTAGTATTTGCTTCATTTCAGCTGGTCTGCCGATCAAATAGTACAGATACAGTAACATAATGCTCAGCTAGGCTTGTGCTACGCCGCCATCTAGTGGATCGCTCCCATGCTGTTTCACACTGTTTCAGGAATCAGGAGAAAATGGTTTGAATTCAAGTTTTGAAGACTTTTTCAACCTTTTAAGTTCCAGTTTAAATACTTTGTTTAATGATAACAGAATTCACAGAAATTCAGTTTGATGGTGTGTCAGAGAACATTGTTTTCCAGCCTCCAATATTTTGTGGCTGACTAGCGTTGGAAATCAAAGGGTAAGCGAGCTATTTTTCAACCTGGATCCTATATCCCATGTTTTGTGTCTAAGTGACTAATGAGTAAAACAATTTCTTTTAAATTGGTCCAGTATTGGGAGAACGCTGCATACGAGGGCAAGTGAGCAGCGTCAATATTTTACCAGCATTTGGTATTTATGAAGCAGGCGTGGCTTTATCTCGGCCCAGTCAATGTTTACACAGCAGCGGCGCGGACCAGAGCCTCACCTGGATAGCGTTGGTAGTTCTCGTAGTCCTCTGAGCACTGGACGGAGGAGACTCTGGGCCGGGGGGAGACCAGCTCGCCCTGGCGGACTAGCGTTTCTGTGATGTCACTGTCCAGAGAGGTCACGTACAGCCACACCGCCGCCCCGCACAAGGACACGACGACCAGCAGCAAGATCACAAGCCCTCGGGAACCCCTCCATGCCGATCCCTGCCGCAGCGCATTACCTCTGAGCAAGACGGAAACACCAAACACAGGCTACTAACTATAATAATATGAAATTCTGATTGAAAAAAACAACATCGACATATTTATGAGTTACCAATCTTTAGTAAATTGATTGTCAGAAGGAAATGTTTATAAACCAGCTACGATAGGCCAACCGTACGGTTCACACAACCAACAAACCTGAGTCAGCTGTAACAACTTAAATCCACGAGTTATCTTTGAGAGTCAATGTTAGTGAGAAAGAAGTAGAAACAATTAGCTAAAAGTAACAATAGACCCGTAATCTAAATAGTTAAATAGTGACGGGGCAATGGCACTGCTGTCCTCCTCAGCAAACACCTCAGTGCCGTCTGACCTGTTTCATTATAAAAAGGGACACGGAGGAACTGGAAGAGGCAAGAAAGACCTTTGGTGACATGGCCACACTGTGTACAGAGATAGGCACGCCAAAAAGAAATGAAAGAGCTTTCTTCCTGGCAATATTCCTGCCAACATCTGTCACAGGCAATGCTTGGTGTGTGTGAGACGGTGTGTCTTTGCGCTATACAGTATGTGCCATCCGTGTGAATGGCTGTGTACTCGCTTCTGAATGTTAAGGAATACATAGTCATGTTGTGCAAGAGTGTGTGTATTTGTGTGCAAATCCAGCGAATTGTGTGCGTTTATGTGAACCCATTCAATTGTCTGAGGGAGCATGCATTCACACACACGAGTACGTACGTTTTTATATGTGCATCACTCTGTGATGTTTAACATGATTCAACTAACAGTTATTTTCATTACTGATTGATCTCAATAATCTGTTGCTGATTGAGTTAAGCAAATAGAGTGATGTCGGTCCTGCCGCCGACCTCATCTTAACATGCAGAAATACAGAAAAACACAAGTGAAGAAATGTAAAATGACAGATTAAACAAAAGCAGAAATGCAAAAATACCAAAATGAGTAAAAGTAGAAACCTAGAAAGAACTTGAAGACATTGATGTATCTATTCATGTCCCAATGAATTAACTACAAGTATTTCTATAGTATTCATGCAATTAACTATCAATCAAATACATATTTCAGCATGCATGTATACATTTATTTATATTTGGTAACAACAGTATTTATTTATTAGTTTATTTTTGTGATTATCCTCCACAACACAAACAGGAATGTGATATGCTAAAGAAAAACTCAAAATAATGCTACACATTAGCATGTATACATTTATTTTCTCTTTGAAGACTATATTTATGATAATAGTATCAATTTGACACTATTATCACCATTTTAGTTAGGTCCTAGTTAGGGTGTTCCCCTCCTTCCTGGTGACAGTACCTGACTGGCACACCGCCACCCTGTTGGGCTTCACACAGGCAGCACACTAGCGTCGTTTCACTCACTCACCTTTTAATCTTCTTCTCTATCTCTGTGGCATTCGCGCCCTGTGGATTCGCCCTCATTCGCAGCAGCGCCATTTTGACTCAATATGCCTGCTAGGTAGCATTAACAAAACTTACCGTCATACACGGTTATTCTGGCCTTGACTAAACCATACCGTGTAGCTCGCTAACAGCTCGTACCACCACCTGAATGCCTCTCCACTTCCTCGTGGAAGCTCGCCCGCCAACCCATTGGCTCCCGGGAAGAGAAAGCTATGTTTTCATTGGTCCCCGTCCTGGTCCAATTGAGTTCGACCACAATGGGTAGTTGCAAACACATACGATTTGGGCTGTGCTTAACGTGCATGCTACCTTGTCCTATGCTTTACAGATGTTTACAGGCGTTTTACAGCATGTAGCGTGCGTTCTTTCACCCATTGCTCTGCCTGCGGAGACTAAACTAATCGATTACCTACACCGCGTGCTTACGTTGAAAACGACAGGAAGCGGTGGATGTTTCTTGTTCAGGAACAAAAGTTGATCCGCCTCACAACAATAACATCCTCATCGGAGTGCCAGTCCTCTCTAATATCCCATCTCTGGTTCTGGCTTGGTCTCTGCGATCCCGGTGAGTCAAACAAATGATCTGATATTCATTCACAAACATACAAAACACACTCACCTGTTCTTAATATGAAAGTCTGTATGTGCCTGCAGTCTGTAATAGGCAGAATGAAGAGTCCACCATGGCCTAAAGGAAAGAAACTGGTCCACCTGGATTTGAAAGGTGCCCCCCCCGAGGGTAGAATACCTTCACAAGGTAAGCACACAGCAGCTTCCTCTGTAATCTGATGCACCACTCTAACTGTTATTATACATTTTTTTGTGTGTTTCAGCTGATCGAGCTGTTCTCTCAGCTGGGAGTCGACGGCCTGCTGGTGGAGTATGAGGACATGTTTCCTTATGATGGGGAGCTGAAGCTGCTGCAGGCCACAGCTCAGCCTGCTTACAGGTGCAGTTTGGGACGGAAACACACGGACACCGCCTGATTTATGGGCTGGGTGGAATTGTATGTGCTTGTTTATCTGCCTTATCATGCTGTCAGATCCTGTAATAAAATCATAATCCTTCCTGTGTGGGATAAACGGATCAAACTTCATGTACAAGTCTGGCATTCTATAAAAAAAAAAAAAAAATGCTTTGGTTCAGTAAGTTCAATGTCTGTTTACTGCTTGCTCTGTTCTCAGCCGAGAGGAGGTACTGTCGATGCAGGACTTTGCCAAATCGAAGGGCTTGGAGGTCATCCCACTTGTGCAGACGTTTGGTCACATGGAGGTGAGGCGAACTGTTTGTTGGAAACTGTTTGTATTGGCTACGAATGCTTAATTTTCAGACGGTGTTCAGCATCCGTGTTTGTTGTTCACCGGCGGCCGTCCCTCCTCTGTTACAGTTCGTGTTAAAGCATCGGCCCCTGTGGAGCCTGAGAGAGGTGGCACCCTGTGTGGGCACCCTGAATCCCCACCGAGAGGACGGGGTGAGGCTGGTGATGGAGATGCTGAGGCAGGTGGTGGAGCTGCATCCGGGCTTGAATGCACTGCACATCGGAGCAGATGAGGTACGAATTGGTCAGACGTCAGCCAGTTGTGGCGGCAGGCGTCATCATTTTTATTTTACTTTTTATTCTTCAAGGTATATATGCTCGGCGAGGGGGAGGAGTCCAAGCTGTGGTTGGGTTCGCCCGGACGTACGGTGGAGCACCTTTTTCTGAGTCATGTGGCCAAGGTGGCCCAGGCCATCAGGGAGACGTGGCCACACATGACCATCATAATGTGGGATGATATGATGAGAGGCATGGGCCAGGACACACTAAAAGGTACTGGTTCCCTACTAAACCAGATGAGCACTGATATCTGAAATGAGTAGAGCTACTCTAAAAAATATATAAATAAATAAAAAAATGTGTCAACAAGGATAATAGCTAAGAAATAGAAATGTGTGGGTCGATTGCTCAGCTGCATCAAATTACATCAATGTCATGTGAATAAAGTAGAAGCTTTTTGATGCTAAGAGCTCACGTAATGAGGCAACCTACCAAGAAGCCCCATGAAAGAGGCAATTTGATGTAATTCTTTTTTTTTTTACATCTGTTTACTGGTATTTTAGTTAAAAGTGCAAAGTAAACACTGCAGTCAAATCAATGTCTTGATTTGACTGTTTTCATTGAATTATTTTTATCCATTATCCATGTAGCTAGTGGCCTGGTGGGATTGGTCCAGCCCATGTTGTGGGACTACACCCCTAATCTGGATGTGGACACAACTGGTAGGAAACCTACCTTATACTGTGGAAATTAGTACTCAAACATCAGACACTTGCACAGTGACCGATACTCTGCAACATGCCCAGAGTCTTGTTGGTAGTGATGTTTACTCCGTGTTGTCCAGTGTCTCTGCTGGAGAAGTACTGCAGTGCCGGTATGTCCGACCTGTGGGCAGCCAGCTCCTTTAAGGGCTCCACCAGTGTTTACACCTGTGTGCCCAGCACGCAGAGACATGTGGATAATCATGAGCAGTGGCTCAAGGTGGCTGCTGCTGTATCTGCCACTGTAAACCTGCAGGGCATCGCCATCACAGGCTGGCAAAGGCAAGTATTCAAGGGATTTTTTTTTCAGCTTCTAGTCTATAATTAAATTGTCCTTTTGTGGCTCAGACTTTAGAATTTGTAAGGGTCCAAAGGACTTCATTAGCTTTTTAACACAGAGCCTTTTACATGATCCATTATTTCCCCCCCCGCGCTGTCAGGTACGACCACCTGTCGGTGCTGTGCGAGCTGATGCACGTGGCCCTTCCGTCGCTAGCGGCCTGTCTCCAGACGCTCAGCCACGGTCAGTTCAGCGCCGAGGCTCAGAGCAAAGTAGCCGAGAGTCTGGATATCTCCTCAGTGGAGGTAGAGGCCATGGGGAGGTGAGGTCAGACATTGTTTCATCATGTCAAGATGTCACTGTACAGTGTGCATCTTTAGGCAAACAGGGTCTTGCTCCGTGTGGCCTTCAGGACGACTGCGGACGAGTCGCTGTTCCCAGGGAGGAGGCTGGCTGAGTTAACTGTGGAGCTCAATTCACTGCTGAACTCAGAGGACATACGGTTTTTTGACAACAACATGTGAGTTATGGGCAGTTATCGCAAGATGTTAATTCCAATGTCTCTCCAATGATTGTTTGACTTTCATTCATCAGAAGATCGATACCACTCTCAGGTCCGTACACCAAAAATGAAGATGCAGCCAGTTAGCTTAGCTTAAAAACTGAAAACAGGGGTAACATCACCCACTGTTTTATTACAGTATATATATTTAGCATACAGACACGAGTGGTATCAATCTTCTCGTCTAACTCTCAGCAAGACAGCGAACAAGAATATGTTTCAAAATATAAATATATATAAACAACTGCTGAATAACTGTATGCCTGTGCTACTGTAGGTTTGTTAGAGGTTGGTTCAGCCCCTACCACCAACAGAGGAAGATGTTAAGCCCTCTCATCGGCATGCAGATTCACAGCCAAGCATCAACGTGAGAATAATAATAATTATACTAAAGCTACACTCTCTGCGTCCTGAAATTGCTTAAGAACTCTGTTTAACAGAAAGCCCATCTGATCACGTCTTCTCAGGTATTTGACTGCATTACAAGAGAAGGTGGAGGCAGTGAGAGAGGAGATGGTGCGTCTTTACCCAGAGTCAACAGCCCAGGAGTGGATCGAGGAACACGTCAGCCCTGTAATGGCTCCTTTACAGAGGATAACCGAGGACATCGGAGCCTGCGTCAATGAGATGGTGCCGTAGAATATTTTGCCAGCTCAGAATCAAACTGCAACATTTTTTTTTTTTTTTTGCAACCACCACTTAATTTAACAGGAGTGACTTTTACGCGTAAATTTGCACTAATTGCACCAACAACAACAAAAAAAAAAAAGACTTTGGGTTTACAAATACATGGTTTTTATATAATTCCTCCAAATGTATCAAAGTAAACGAAGACAATAAAATCAACCAACAAAAAAAGATTCTTCTCATTTTCTTTCCAGCAGAGCAGAGCACACCGACATTCACCATTTCAACAGATGTATGGAACTTTAAAGTTCCATACACTTTAAAGAAGTTTGTCCAAAGCACCGAAGTGTTTGCCTGAGATTCAGTCTTTGGTTCACAAAAAGTAAATAAACGTTAAAAGACAGAACAACAGCAGGCTAAAGCATTTCACATATAATTAACTCAATTGAGAGTCATGCCCGATTACAGTTTGCACATGCGTTCATCCGGATTGCGGACTGGGTATGAATACACATGAAACCAAAGGTGATTATCAACTGGGTGGTCCGGGAAACTGTGGGAAAAGCACTTTCCATTGACTTGCACATAAACACATATTAGAGTTAATCAGGAAGGCACGGTAAAACTGTAATCTGGAGTGTATTCCCAAATAGTAATTAGCTCAGAAGAGCTAAGGCATGATATTCACTTACAGAGAACTGCATCTAAAGTACAATTTTGTTCTGTTTTAGGAAATATTTGCATGACAAAACATTTAAGTTGTTGATATTTCCATCCCAGTTCGCATGAAAATAAAGTAAGAAATATTTTACCATAGTCTCCCGAGGAAGGAAGTATGCTAGGAGAAACTGAAAGAGACTATATCCTTGGTGTTTCATGCACATGCTAACAGTATAACACGTAGTGAGGGTACCACTTAAACTGCTCCCTCTGTAATGCCGTAGCAAGGTCATAATGCCCCTAAATCAATCCACCCAAAGTTGCAGCTGGGTTGCAAGTCACAGAGGGATCAGAGTTTGTCTGCTTCACCATCTGAATCACTGCTGTTATCCAAAGAATCATCTTCCTCCTCCTCCTCGTCCTCGTCTTCTCCATACTCTGCCTCTTCCTCCTGCTGCCTGCTTTGCTGCAGCTCATCCAGGCCCAGGAAGCGCTTCAGCAACGCAGCCATCGCCTCCACATCACTGACAGACGGAACAGAAGGAGAACAGGATATTCTGCATTGTTTAGTGTCATTTGTTATGCTTTTTTTTCTCCATATTATTGCTCGGCTTAAGAAATAACTTAATTATCAGACAATAAGAAGACATTGAGTCGAGGTTTTGCAACAGAGTCACAATGAGATCTGCGGACAAAAACAAATTGTAAATACATTCACGACTGTAACAATACAATCCTTTTTTTCAGTGGAAGCCTTGCAGAGTAGCTGTCGCGGTGTGACAGCTAATGGGGATCCTCGTGATTAAACACAGAATGTTTTAGTTAGGTGGTTACGTTGACCCATTGTTAACGATATATATTAACAATAACGATATATTTTCAGAATTTGAAAATGTATTTTTTAAATATAATTTTAAGACTTTTTCCACAGACGCTGGGGACAGATAAACAAAACAAAAAAAGAGCAGCTTCTGCATCAGTTTACCAGGCGGGCAAACACACCATGATCTGAAAGCATTCATCACGTCGTGTTGTTTTAATAAAGTGAGCCGTCACTGTGTCATCACATAGCGTCGGGAGCTGTCGGCAGCAGATACCTACTTGCGTTCCCCCAGTGTTGCGCTCTGAGTCAGGGGGTAGGAGAAGCCGGCAGCCAGCCGCAGCATCAGCAAGTAGCCCTTCCCCAAATAGCGAACCTTCTCCTCCTGGACGCAGATGTCACACAGCTGTGTCAGATCTAACACAACTGAGAGAGAGAGAGAGAGAGAGAGAGGCTCAAGATCTATGATTCTGCACTCTCACTCTGTAGAGACTACCGTACTCGCTCTGGGGTGTTACTGACCTTTCTCTTTCCCCTTCTTCCATAACGTCAGGATTAAAGCGTACAAGCTAAACGACTTGAGCTCAATCAGGTTATTGGTCTTGTCGAACACAGCCTCCTCCCATTCGTCCATGTTCTGCATGGCTATGAACAGACAACCTGCCACGTAGAAAAGCTTCCACGGGATGCTGTCTGTGTGATCCACGGGACACATAGAATTATTTTTAAAAAGAAGGAAAAGAAAGCTACGTAAGTTGCAACAAGCAGGTGCGGAAAGTTATGTAAATCGGACGTTGGGCAAATTGAATAACAGAATAAGGTAAATTCAATTTGTGTACCTGAGCTGTAGTATGCAGCTGCCAACCCAACAGATGCTATGCCTGCAATTAAAATGAGAGGCTTATTATTCGAGAGAATGCAGAGGAGATGTTTATATCATATTTGATTGTGTACACTGTATGCACATTTGCACACACACACACTTACCGACAAGAAGAGACCAGGAACGAATGCCCGGAGATCTCTTCAGGTGGAGCAGGGTGGAGCTGTGCTCCGCTACGATCATGTATCCCATCTGAACAGAAGCAGGAATATTAAGCCTATTTCACATGAAAATAATACCCCTACCTTAAAGGGCCAGTTCACCCAAATCACAAAAATATCCCCCAGGCTTGACGTTTATTAACACATTTGTCCTATTTCAATAGGCCTTTTTTCACAGCACACATTTTGACTTGTTATAGGAGCCAAATCACAGGATTCTCTGCTCCGAAGAGGCATTTCAAGACATTGGATTGGGTGGGTTCATTTTCACAATGCCTTCAAAAATAAAAGGTCAAAATGTATCGATTTTAGTAGATAAGATGTATTTTGGCTGTATGTTCTGTTTCGACTTTCTATGACAACAGAGTGACTAAAACATTCATTTTGTACTGAGCTAGGCCTCGCTCATCCATTGTTAGTAGGAAAGCACATGTGTTCCTCATATATCAGGTATATTGATTCGCAATGAATGAAATAGTAAATAAATACTTACTGCCTTAATTAACGTGGGTTCTGTTTCATCACCAGTGAGTCGTAGAGCCTCACTGTGTATACATCTAGTTTTAAGATATTCATTATTTCAGTTTTGAGCTTGTATGTTGCGTACTTCTAAATTACTTTAATTGAATTTAACTGGGCCCAGGTAGTGTTCTGCACTATGAAAAACTATAAACAACGCACAGAGAATGGAACCCCGAGCAGGTTAATCCAGCCAGTCTGACCAGTTCCTTTGGATAATCCAGATATGTTGCTGGCAACCCCTTTGTTATATTAATGGAACTCTTTTCTACCTGAATATATAATCACAAAACTGATAGCCATCCATTTCTGCATGGCTTCATATCACAAGGGACAAGAGAGAAAATATATATACATTTTTTTTGTAATTTGGGTGAACTGACCCTTTAATTCGATCTGAAAACCAAGTAAGACACTTGGCTTGGATGTGATGGGAGACCCCACACAACTGTCTGTCCAGAACTGTACAAAGATACCAACTATGCGACATTTTTGTATCACTTACCTTAAACTCTTCTTCCTTTCTGTAAATTTGCGTCTTGCAGGTTTAGCAAAAGAGCATTCGTACGAGGAAGCACGTGTACTAAATTATAAGGAAGTTCTTTTCACATTATTGCAGCAACTGTCCTGCATGGGTAATACTTCCTTCCTGGATCCGTCTGCGCTGATGGACGGGATCATGTTCTCCCCGCCTTCAAAATAAAAGCTTTAACTGCATTGTTAAAAAAGGATTTGGCTGTGTAGTCCGTTCACTACGCAATACTTTCACTTTCCTACAACCCAATTACATGTTCAAAACATTCGTTTTTTCTTCTTTTTACTAAACTGGCTTAAGTTTGGACAACTTTCCTCACATACTTTGAAATCTGGCCACGGCTTCGCTCCATGCACGCGGAGACACTTCCCGACCAATTATGATTTTTTAACCCAAGACATATGATATTTATTTTATTTTATACACAATGAGAAAATGCCCTTACTTTGGCAAAAACTCAAAGCTTCCGGAGCAGAACGCTAAGTCGTTTGCGCATGTGTGGGTTCACAGGGGTGCACAATGGAGTCAGACGTGCATAGACATGAGTGGCGTGAATACTAGGAGACTCCCGACGCCTTCGAAAAGCGCTAGTTTGAATACCGGTATTATGCAATAACCGCACAGGTTCAAGCGCGCAGTGGCGGTGACACCGACCACAGACGACTTGACTTGATACTGAAACAAAGTGCTGAGTAACTGCCGAGTTCACCTGCTGTGCTGTAGCACTCTTCTTTTACCATTAGCTGCTCTTCTGACTGTCCCCTGCAATTTTCCCATGTCTTTGTCCGACAGAGCAGCGAAATAAAACTCTTCCGGTGAGTTACCCTTAAAATTCGACCTTTTAATAACAGCACGAGGCCTGTTGTCACACTGTTAAACCAACACATTGATTCAATTATTTGTCAAGACATGTGGGGGAGGCCTGTAACGCAATAGCAAATGTTTAAAGTTGGCTCAAATCAGTTTTGACGTAAGTTACGTTAGCGGTACACATTGCTTAAGAAATGATCGATTTTTTTCTTCTTTAATTATCGCGAGCTGTATTAAAAATATTCACCACAGAGTGGACAACCGTCGTATGCTACATTGTGACTGAGTTTGTGTTCATAATATGCATTGAAGGTTTTCACAGGATGATGTAATAATTATCTTTTGTGGCTGTTTTTGTTTGGCGCTGTGTATGTAATTAACATTTTAATGACGGGATATGCTAGTTCGTTGCCAGTTTCCCCACCGTAATAGAGCTGCTGTCTGAGTGATAAGTGGGCTGCCTGTGATAGGACATAGCGGGACGGTCAGAGGGTGGAGCTGATCAAACCATCATCACACAAGCATGTGAGGAAATGATCAACACTGCTGTCTGTCTAACAGATACATCACCCTCAATTCACAGATCACGCCAAGGAAAATGTCCGATGTCAACATACCAAAGCGCAAGGAGAAGTGTGAGAACTGCACCAAACAGGTGAGTTTCTAGATCAGTATCACTGCGTTGTTTTTTAATATATCATTCGACTTTCTTGTATAAGATGCATTTTTAAAAAACGGTGTCGTTTTGTCAATCGCAAGTTAGATATTTCTTAATCTTACACACACAGTGCAACAAGAAACAGAGTGACGATGGTGCCGACTCGCACCAGGAGAGAGTCGAAGTCAACGGACAGGTAATGTCTGTTTTTACTCACGGATTTTAAAGTTATTATAGATGGCTCCTCCCGTTTCGTGCGTCAAAATCCCATGGAGTACTGCCAGGACTGCAAAACCGGTTGTGTAATTTCTTCTGGAGCTTTCTAAAGTCTGACAAATAACCCTGGGTTATTGTAACACTCCTGTTTTGGGGGGGGGGGGGGGGAAGTCTTTCAAAGTTTGTGCAGTTAATAGCATGCAAGGAAAGATGGTATCAAGTTGCATCATGGGAAGTTTAGGATCCAGATATCTCGACCTCTGTTGCTTTAACTGTTCTTTGTTTTAAAATCTACCGTCACACTCTCTTAAAACACTCCCCTTTTGTTCTCCTCAGGTGCATGAAGGATCCCAGCTGTTGCTGAGTGCCTGCCTGTCCTGTGATGGCTGTCTGTCAGAGGAGGAGAGCCTGAAGATCTCTCAGCAGAGCCTGGAGCAAGTGGAGCGGGTTCTGGCGCTCAACAAGGTACAATGCGGCCTTCTGGAACCTGAGAGAGTCGAGGAAGTCGTCCGGTTGCACTTTTTCAGCGATACCTTTTTGTTACATTGGACCCTGTTTGTTTGTTTTCTCTGTCCCCGTCAGAAGTGTGACGCGTCGAAGCACAAGGTGCTGGTGGCGTCGGTGTGTCCGCAGTCTCTGCCTTTCTTTGCCGTCAAGTTCGGTCTGGACGTCACCGAGGCCGCCCACAAGCTCTGTGGCTTCCTCAAGAGTTTAGGTGAGCGAGTGGGATTCGCATGTCACAATAGGAAACATATTTTCAAATCTCAACACAGCGCTGAAGGGCTCTTGTATGCAGTTATTTGAGGTATTGTTATACTCCTTATGAAGTGTATGATTTATTTGTCTGCGTGTCCGCCGTAGGATTAGTGTCCACATCAGATCCAGGATCTGTGCTACTTTGTTCTTTCACATGTTGTGTCTCACAATATCATTAGTTTCACTTTGTCAGAAATAGGTTTGTTTTGACAGCTTTTTTATTTTATATTAAATTCCACAAGTGAGAAATGTGCTGCCTGAAACCGTTTAAAAGACATGTCTTCATGACCGGTGTGTAGAAACGTCCACCTGCTCATCGGTATCTATCACAGATGCTCGACATTCTCCCCGAGCCACCGCCTGTGTTCTGTTCCAGGTATTAAATCATGGCTGAAAGAGAACCCACATTGTTCTCACACCTGTATTTTGGCTCTTGTGTCTGTATTTATATGTTGATGCATTTCTTTTCTTTCTCTGTATGATTTCTGTTTTATTTAGTTATTTAAAAAGCCTCCTGTGGACAGGTGTTTTGCCACAAACACTAAACACAGTGCGCCTGGTCTCTGTGCATAAATGAATGTTACAGCTTTACGTCCATGTCAAAGTAAACTAAACTAGTGTCTCTGGGGTTTTCCCTGCAGGAGTGCAGTATGTGTTCGACACCACTCTGGCGGCAGGCTTCAGCATCTTGGAGAGCCAGAAGGAGTTTATTCAGAGGTTTCGCAGGAGGCACCACGACTCCCACGCCTTGCCCATGTTCACCTCCTCCTGCCCAGGTAAACCTCCCTTCCTCCAGTCCTCACCCCTTCTCTCATTCTCCACCCCCTCTGCGCTGTTTTGTTTTGTTCCCCACCTGTCAGATTGATTTTCTAGCCAACTGAACTAACCTCTATCCTTATATTTGCCTTAAATAAAATGAGTTTAGCCTCTTTCTCCTGCTGCTCCTCAGGCTCCTGGCTGTTACTTTGCACGCCGTGTGCTGACTAGGGGGAGACAGAGCTTGTTATTAGAAGTAGAGATAGCGGTGTTGTGCTGGTGGGGAAAGATAGAAAGCTCTTCTTTCACCACTCCCTTCATCAGAGATAAACGGCAAGGCTTCAAGACCTTCTTGACAAATCCATAGACGAGACTTTTACAGGAGTCTGATATTATTGTAAGGACGCAGCTGATGAGTAATTTCATTATCGATTAAACTGTTTTTTTTACTAATATATAAATTATTTAGTCTTAATAAAATGTCAATTTTGTTTTACAAATACACATCACATTTTTCCCCTGAGCGTCTTAAAATGTCTCATTTTGCCAAAAGCCATGAATATATTACACATATATCTATATATATATATTTTTAAAAAAACAAAGAGAGGCAGTACATTCTCACAATCGAGGAACTGGAAGCTGAGAACTTTTGGTATTTCTTATCGGTTTTGCTTAACAAGTGACGAATTGCCGACTATTCATTGTCTGTAGATTGACTAATTGTAACTGTAGTGGAAAGCAGACTGTTCATCCAGTAACCATATTAACAAACCAGGAAGGAATCTAATATTTGGGTATTTGAATTGAATACAAAGATTGTTACACGGTCTGCCTGTACATGTTCTTTTCAGGGTGGATCCGCTATTCAGAGCGCGTGCTGGGCAGCCTGGTCACCCCTCACATCTGCACAGCCAGGTCTCCTCAGCAGATCATGGGCTGCCTGGTCAAGGACTACTTCTCGAAACAGCAGGTGAGCATTCACCGCCACAACAGTAACATGCATTTAGTTTGTCGTGGGACAATTATCGGCAACACCGACAGTTGTATCGATAAGAGCTGGAGGTAACAGATTTTTAAAAAAGTTGCGAAACGGTGAGCTGTGTGAATTCCTGACTGAGACCAAGCGGCCTGACATCAACCGAGTGTGCAGAACAGAAATACGGAGGCATCTTTGAGTTGTGTTGGAGCCAAACTCTGTCCTAATCAGATGTTTTGTCCAGTTGACTGTCACCAGTGAAAACCAAATGAAACCACTCTGAGCCGATTCAAAATGTTGTGGAAAAATGCTTCATGAACAAAACAAGTCTTCCTTATCATGTTGTTTTTCCTCCTCCTTGTCTGCGAACAGAAGCTGAGTCCGGGGAAAGTGTACCACGTGCTGGTGGCTCCCTGCTTTGATAAGAAGCTGGAGGCTGTCAGGGAGGAGTTCTACAATGGCCTGCTGGAGGCCAGAGACGTGGACTGTGTCCTCACCTCAGGTTCAGTCCTCTTTTATCTCGCACGCCGCCGCCTCGAGCCAAACAATATTAGCAAATGTCGATTAGCTTTTATTTTCTGGAGGTTAGGTGTGTCTGAGACCCCAGGGGTGTAAAATCAGTAGCAAGATTTTATTCCATTTCAGTCGAGGCTTATCATCAAATGCATTCTGTCGTCATACTATTTTAGATCAGGTGGTAACAGGGATTTTTATTTTTTCATTTTAAGGTGAGATCTATTACCTGATGGAGCAGAGGAAGGTGTCGGTGGAGGAGCTGGACTCGGTTCCACTGGACCATGTGTGAGTAGTTCTATCCTATCGGTTGTGTTTGGCGAGAAAGAGATGAAACGCATTGAAGCTACAATGCTGCAGTGTGTACCGCAGTACTGTGCTAAGTAGTGCAGTGCAGCTTAGACTGACTATAAAAATATATTATGTACATGCTATGGTTACAAAGTTGCCATTGCAAGTATAAAACAAGTCTGCATATATTCTTTGATCATTTTATCCAGCCACCCTACATGTTGTTTACAATAACACGGGACTCACAGTTGCACATGTTCACTGGGTGGTCTATGTTGTCACTGCAGACTGGGAGAGGCCGGAGACGCGGCGCTGGTGAGGCACGAGGGCCGAGGCTCCGAGGGCTTCCTGGAACATGTCTTCAAACACGCCGCCAAGGAGCTCTTCGGTCTGGACGTCCACGAGGTCACGTACAAGACCCTCAGGTGAGAGACGCCTGTGTTTTGAGAGCTTTTATCTTATCGTCTCGTCGGTTGATTTGGACGTCAAATACAATTTATTTATTTATTTATTTTTTTATTTTTTTTCTCTCCACGTTGGTTTTTGCAGGAACCGGGACTTCCAGGAAGTGACTCTGGAGCGTGATGGGGAAACTCTGCTGCAGTTTGCCGCCATCTACGGTTTCAGGAACATCCAGACCCTGGTTCACCGGATGAGAAAGGGACGTGTGCCCTACCAGCTGGTGGAGGTGCTGTCCTGCCCAGGAGGTAACGCCACCCACAACTACCAACGTGATTTTTAAAAATAATAATGCTTTAAAGTGATAAAAACGTTGCTTGAAATCCTACCTTTCACCTCGGACCTGCTGTTTTTAAGCCCTTCTTGTGTCTCCCACGTGGCAGGGTGCTTGAGTGGCCGCGGTCAGGCAGAGAGCGACGTGGACGGCCGGGTGGATAAAGACCTTGTCCAGCAGATGGAGGAGGCCTACAGCAGCCTGCCAGTCCGTCTGCCAGAGGTCAACCCCACCCTGCACACCCTCTACCAAGACTGGCTGCAGGGCCAGGACTCCCCGCAGGCCGGCGCGCTCCTGCACACCCAGTACAGAAGTCAGATCCACACGCAGCCCCCGCACATGCAGTGGTGAGGGAAGAGGAGTGTTTTGCCGTAAAGACATAATGGCAGTTGAATGAGCGCTGCCTCTGGTTGATTCCGATTCCGCTTGGACCATCCCATCAGCCATGCTGGCACCGATGAAGGACAAGCCGAGGGCCGCGCGCTGCTCGTCCGACCAGTGAGTCTCAATGGGTGCATTTCTACCATTAGGCCACAGGGGGGCGGTGCCTGTATATCAAATTTGGTGGATCTCCTGTGCCAAACCTGAGCCCGAGGAGAAACGGGGGTCCGGAGTCCAGAACACACATTTCTCAGCAGACTGGAGCAGTGATGCGGATAACGGCTTCCAAAAATATTAAGTACAGGGTCAGCCAGTCAGCTGATCTGAGAAATGAGGAAAATCCGTAGCAAGTGCAACTTCTGGTGTCAATCTACAGAGCAATAAGCCACCGAGGAGACGTATGAGACGCTTTTTCAGCACGACTGGAACTCGTGAACCGAACCTGCTGATGCTGAATGTTCATCAATGTGTGTTCCAAATGTAAACCGCCCGATACCAAACATGTCGCTTTACGTTGTGTTCAAGTTGTCTCCACTGTTCCTCAACAACACGTTGATAACTGTGCAACAGTGTGGTCGTCTTCTCTCAACAGTCAATGGAAGGCAAGGCCTACAGGTTAAAAAGGCCTTTTGATGACTCTTAACCTGACAGTGAGTGTCTCCACCAGCCCACTGTTGAATACTGTTGAAGTAATTCTTTTTTTAATGGTACATGATGTCATTTGTATTGTCACTTTGTTCCCATTCCGCAATCTAGTAAGTTATATGTTGTTTTTTTCTTTGTTTTACAAGATCACGTGTGACATGTTGCACACGAAAATATTCTGACAAATGAGGTGTGGATGATGTCATTGTTCACTGAACAGTCTCTGCCTTCTGCAGAGTGAAAACCTTTTGTGCTGCTGGTAATCCACAAAACACCGTTTTCATGCTAAATTCATTCATTGTCATCGTATTTGGATATCTCAAAACTTCAGCAAATTTAACCAAAACTGCCTACATGGCTCAATACGACGAGAGGTTAGTGAGAAAGTGTTTTTTTTTGTCATGTGACTGAATTGAACCTTCAACAGGACTTTGTGTGTGGCGCTGAAACAATCTATCGATTCATTGATCAAAAATCAAATTTTAACACTTTTTTTTTTTTTTTATAATGAAATTCTTTATGATTAAAAATTGCCAAACAAGCCGGCTCCAGCTTCTCCACCAAAACTTCAAAGCTCACTCATAACATGTTTGCTTCATTCAAACACGTAAAAAGGAATGTAATGTTTGTTGTGTTGCCGAGAGTTAGTCTTGTTATCGCAGTAAGGTTGACGGGCAGCCAACAGAAACCCCAACTAAGATGAGGTGAACCGGTTATTGTTTTTCACTTTTAGCATGAAAATTTACTTTTCATTCGTCTTATATTAACAGGTAGCATTTACCAACCTTTATAGAGACCAGTTTGTAGACATGACACAAACATGACCAGTGCTGACCTGACATCTCTTATATCGATGAAGTTTTTATTTAGAACTCAACAGTTCCCAGAGAAACAATGTGATCAACGTACTCTGACCCAACCAATGATCCGACCCATTCATTTAAACATAATTGAGCCTTTTCGGCTTTTAATCTGCTCATTCACCCATTTAGTGACCACATTGAGCTCTATCAGCTCCACTTAACGTCGGCCACTCCTTCGTGGTGATTACCTGGAGAGTTTGATGTCGCTGATGGAAACCACCGACCACACAACCAACTGTCACTTGGCAAACAGCAGCAAGGGGCGTGCCTCCTAGATGTCTTTGTGTTCCGTTTCAAAGAAAAAGAATTTATTTAAACACCAAACTATTTACTCCCATACAATTTTTCCATGATGGCTTTCGTACGGGTTATTTATATACTCATCCGTATCTACTCGTGTTTGAACATGTCTGACATCCATCACTCAACCTCTCACTTTCACTTTCCCCTTCAGTCACTCCATTCAGGCATGTTTTTACTCCAGTGACAGATTTATGGGTTGGGAGCCAGTGTCAACCGTCAGGTTTTAGTTGTTTCTCGGAATCATTTGCTAATGCTCACATCAGAAAGAAGTCCGCTCTGAGGTAAGTTCTCTTTTCCTGTGTACATGGCAGTTACTCACTCAGAAGCTCAGCTGTGGTTTTAATGGGGGAACCGAGTTATTGATCCAAAGAGGATGATCAAATAAGATAATGCTTTATTAGTCCCGCAGCGGGGAAATGTACAGGATTACAGCAGCATAGTGCAAACAAGACATAGTAAGAACAAAACGGGTATTATAAATGAGTAATAAACGGTAAAGAATATTAAGTAAAAATCCACAATAGTTCAATTATAGCTAAAAATATTACATATACAGACAGAATATTTTTTTGTATTGCACAGTGTATTTATATTGCACATATTCTTAGTGTTGTGTGGTCTACTGGGAGCAGATACGCAGTTTGCGAAAGGTCTGCAATAGTGGCAGAAGAGATATTTATGTTTTTAAATGAGGAAAAGCAGCAATACAACTGTTGTAAAAGTTCTATTAATGATGGTAGGACTAAAGCAGGCGGTCTCGGATGTCTGGAGTTGCTGCGACGAGTGTTGGAATCTAGTTTCAGGATGAACACAATAGGATAGTTATACCTGCTTCTGTGTAAACTCACTGTAACACAATATCACTACTTACTCATTTGCATATTAAACGTACAATTTATAAAAGAACAAATAATTGAATGTAATTTATCAACTGGGGGAGTTTCATGATGAGGTCTGTTAGTTACATTTTTATTTTTTACCTCATTCACCTGCAGTGTCTTTAAAAATGTATGTAATTTTACAATACACGTCTTTAAAGGCTGTTTTCTCAAAATAGATTTTTTTTCTAGCCAGAAATCACCTCCAGTATTAATTCCTGTCTATATTCTGAAGGGTTTGTTCATATATCATTCAATGCCTATAATGTATAGAACATTTCATTCATAAAACATGGCAAAAATAGTTTTTTTCCCCTTATGGCTGTTGACAGTATTTTCTGATTGATGGAGTGATAAAACGACATATATACATAAGACTCTGTAAAAACCTTTGAATCTAATATGTCGACCAAATTAAACGATCATTTTGAACCATGATTAGATTTCTATTCTGGAAACTTGTGCAAATTAGCGCATATTTGATAAAGTAAATATTACATTTCAGAAAACTTGTAATACAAAACATAATTTACATAACGTAAGTAATCAAACAGACACTAAAAACTTGAGCCAATGACTATCACAGTTGCCAGATGGTTCAAAAGCACAATCTATTTAGCACTAATTAGCTAACCTTTAGACATAAACTAAAGAGATGGCTGAAAGCAAACCAAAACCTGCAATCATACAACCTCACCTGAGACACTGCTGTTATATCACCTCATTGTTTTTGTAATGTATTTATGTATTCTATTGTTTTCGGATCGCATTGTGTTGTGCTGTGGTGTTTGCTGTAGCATTGTAAAGATGTTAGGCCACTAATAAATTGTAATAACCTGCTCAGGGACTGCACATGAAAAAGCTCTCTAGCTATAACTGTGATTAAAAATGTGATTAATGTGCACTGTCCCTGGTAAATAAAGATATAAATTAATAAACTGGGAAAGTTTCATGCTAGTTAAAAATGTTCCCCGGGTCACCTGTAGTGTCTCCCATTCAAACAGCGTCTGTTAGTGGATATAATCTCAATGAAGTACAAATTTGGACCTCATTGAAAAAGTTAGCAAACAATGAAAAATTAAATTTATAAAAAAAGAAATGTATAACTAAAAAGTAGTTCAAATTGGACCTCTTCCAAACTCTTCAGTCATCCTGTTTGGGCTAAGCTTTATCTGTGAGGTGCAACAAACCTGACAGATCAGAATCCCTTTAATAACTTTGATCAGACAGGGACAAGGGAGCACATCATGAACTCATTTGACTTAGAACATAGAGAACTTGAGTTGATTTTAGGTTATTAAAACAAATATTACACTAAAGATGAATGACAGATTAACATGCACCAACTCATCCAGGTTGTCTTACCTGATTTATGGCAATAGGTGAGCCTTGTTTACACCAGGCTGAGGCAGAACAGGACAGAGGCCCTCCGTTCTTCATATCTTTTTTTTCTCTCTCTCTCTCTCTCTCTCTCTCTCTTCCGCTCTCTGAAGACAGTGACGCTTGCAGAATGTCCGGCCTGTGGTTGACCTTGAGTCTGCTCTATGCTGCTACTTTTCTACAAAGCAGTGCCTCAGCAGATGACTGTATTAATATTGCTTGTACCAAAAGTAAGTACGGTATATTGCAAATACATTCTGTAGTAAAAAAATAAATAAATGGAAATCATATCATAAATGCCCTTTTTTGTGTCATCCAGCAATGTGCCTGAAGTGCAACACAACACTGACAGTTGAAGCTGGACAAGCAGTGACACTAAACTGCTCTATATGTCCTGAGGACTTTAATGGTACTGATTATGTGTGGCGTGAAGACGGAGATGAAATAACTTGTGACAATATGAAATACAAATGTGAATGGGATAATCACAGATATGTGTCGCTAACCATCTCACATGTTGTGGAAGACAAAGTTTACACCATTCACATAAACGGAAACCGTGGTCTTGATGAATCTGCAATCAAAGTACAAGTTCTCAAGATGAATGGTGAGTAGCTTCCAGAGTCTTAAAGTCGTTTAGCAAAAGTATATGTGAATTAATGTTTGTGTGCATTATTATTAACAATATTATTATTGTTATCCATTTCATACAGAAGCAATTGTATTGGAAGTAACAACCAAGCCTCAGACGGCCACCGATGAGAAAGCCTTCATATGGTTTATTTTCATCCCCCTCGTTGCTTCGGGCATTTTGTTTTTCCTGTTTGGAACCAACAGAGGCAGAAAAATAATGAAGGCCATCAGGAAGGAAATGACTCAAGGAGACCAGTGACATGAACGATGCAACAGGGACTGAAAACTTGCTGACTGCCTGACATTTGCTTGTCTGTGTTTGTGTGTTTTCTTTTATTTAATATGTGCTGGCTGTGGAGCTTCCTGCCTCTGAAAAAAAAAATCATACTGACGTATTTTTCATAATTCTTTGAGGTCTTTGTACAGATTGATCCATGTAAATATATAGCGATCTGGTTAAAGGGGCACATGTGTGGTTGTCCTCCTCGAGACCTGTAAACAGACTCTGATGTGCAAAATCGGTTTTAGAGTAATTAACGCTCGGTGATGTCATTGGGGTTTATCTCTGCTTAGGACTGCAAAAATAATATAATAAAAAGGCTGCGTTACATGCACTGTCATAGTCTTTGAAAAACATTGGCATTCAGCAGTCTAATAAATAGAAGATGCTGTCGAGTTGCATTATGGGAAGTGTAGGCTCCAGCATTTTTACGGAGCCTAGATTTATTGTACATTTAAAAACAAGCAATGTAAATGTGTTATTGTATACATAGTGACTGATATGCTGGACATACGGTGTGTGTGTGTGTGTGTAGAATATATTGGGGCTAGTATGTTAACTCAGCCTCTGAACATATAACATGTAACAGCTATACGGGTGATGGAACACCACTTCAAATAAAGAGCAATGAAAAGATGTCTGTAACAAGCGCTTCCACATCTTTGATCTGATGCAGCTCACACACACACATACACACACACACACACATACACACACACACACACACATACACACACACAGCTGATAAACACCAAGTGACAAGAGTCAGAGTCACATTTCCTCTCGTCAGTCAGTCAGGCAGCTGCGTCTTGGGTCGAGTCAGCGGTAGCTCGCCTGCAGCCCAGCTGGAGGGATGAAGGCCCACTGGTGGAGCTGCGTGTTGGGGTTACTCTGCATGCCTTCTGGGGTAACGCTCAGCGACTCGAAAGGTGAGTGTGTGTGTGTGTGTGTGTGTGTGAGAAAGAGAGAAAGGATCGATGTGCGTTTTCGGGTTTAAAACGATGAACACGTCTTGAAGGGTGACTCTGAGTCATCTTTTCCTGTTTGTTTGCAGCCTCATCCTGTTGTGTATCTGAAAGCAGCGGCTTGAACATTAAAGAACCAAATAAACTACAAGTAAAAGTCCTTCATTCATAATCATACTCGATTAAAAGTCATTTTCAGCTAAATGTACTTAAGGCATTAAAAGTACTATTTCTGCAGAAACAAATATCCCCTGTAACAGATACATAAGCATTTTACTCGTGTAGCAGGTCAGTGAAGTTGGTTTTAGCTCCTTTATATACACTTACTGCAAGTAGCTTAGTCTAGAGTTCGCACACAGGGGTTGGGCCCCCTCCAGTGGGTCACAAAATATATCTGAGGGGTTGTGAGAGGATTCATGTGGCAGGAAAGAAGTTCTGCTCTAGGCAAACTATAAGCTTTTCTTTAAAATTAGTTGTTTTGTGAAATACCCGATAAGTATGTCTATCTAGGTATTGCATATCCATCTGAAATGTACAAAAAAAGAAACTAGACACTATGTTTTGTAAGCCAAAACGGTTGGGGACGACTGGTTTAATCTTTAACATTGTATGTTATCAGCTCATTATTTTGTTGTTGTCGTTGTTGTCGTGAAATATTAATCTGAAAAACCAGTATAGCTGTCAGCTGAATACTAAATAGTACAGCCTTTTCCCCATGAAATGATGTGAAGCAGAAGGGCAGCATCAAAAGGAAAGGACTCAAGTCATATACCTCAAGTAAAGTACAAGTACCTCAAAGTTGTACATGTACTTATAGTCACTTTCCGTCTGAAACCGTCTATTAGCTTTGTTTACTAATTGATCAGTCGAAGTGACTTCTTTTAAGTTTCCTCTGATACCATGATCTGCTTGGTTTTTCCATAAATATGGACTTCAGGTGAGGCGGTCTGTAACAATCCGTCTCTCCCTGACAGTTTCCCAAGACCCCACGTCCATCTCTCTAACGAGAGTCAACTCCTCTGCTGAGATCACCTGCTCCACGTTGCGGTCGGACCCGTTGAGCTTGTCCCTGCACATGCGTTTTCCCAACACAAAGCAGATTGCGTTCCTGGCCTTGAAGAACGGACTGGTGAGCAAGACCACGGCAGGCGCAGGATTCCGCGGCCGGATTCGCGCAGCTCCGGGCCAGTGGATCGGGGACGGCCACGGGTTCACCGTGCAGCTGTCTCTGCTGGGACTGGAGGACACGAACCTGTATTACTGCAGCTGGGAGTTCTTCAAAAAAGAGACGGCGACCTCTGAGACCCTGTCCAGCAATGGCACTGTTATAATTGTCAGAGGTGAGAAGCACCAGTCGCTTGAGTTCAGACATGCACACACACACATTGCGCAGTCAAAAAAAAAAGTATTTTTTTGTCCTTAACTTACTTCTGCTGCCCCCCTCCTCACAGAGAGAGACCCCCAGGAGCAATGCAGGGACCACATCCTGGATCGCATCATGATTGGTTTGAGCTTGGCAGCGTTCTGCATCGTACTGTTCCTCTGCGTCGCAGCGCTGATCGTGAGACGCAAACGAGTGAGTACGAAGCGGACGGGCCTGCGCATTGGAACGCCGCGGCGCTCCAATGACCGTGTTTTCTTTGTGTTTTCCGCAGTTCAGAAGGCGCTTCAGACCAGCCAGAGCCGCACCACCGACCAGACCCAACAGGCCTCAGCACAGCTGTCCTCAGCATAGAGTTCAATGTGACCCTTACTTAGTGACATCTGTAAATTCTTCGTATTACAGAGGCATTCTGTAATGCTGAGAGTCGATGATGATGTTAAGAGATGACGATTCTTTGAAACTGGTCGCCTGTAGAGTAGATTTACTGAGCGATGGGGTTGGTAACAGATGATTGAGATATAATTGAGTCAGCGGCTCGGCTGACGTGCTACATCCAGTAAAAGGTGTCTCACGTATTGCTCTGCTTCTTTCCATTTCCTTTTATACAAAAATGTGTAGAATCTGCAGAAAAGGTGATTGAGCTACCACATCCTGGCTGGTGTGGGGTGTACAGGTGTTTCGTGAATAAACTGCAGAGCGAGCGCTTTTGTTGCTCCCTTGTGCTTAATTACACGCGAGCTTGATCTGTTGACTCGTGTGCTTGTTCTATGTGGTTCCTTTCAATTTCCTTTGAACTTTCAAACGAATGTGAACCACACGTTTTCTGTCTGAATCGATATGTACATTGAATCTGAACTTTTTCCAAATTTGATGTTCCTTTGAAGAGTCTTAAAAATACAAATAAAAGTTTTTTTTTAAACCACCACTGTTTCCGTATTCAGGAAAAAAAAAAAGAAAATCCACCTCAAAATGTCATTTACATAATATTTGTTAGTATTACACCATGCAGACTTGTCGGGTGGCAACTTTCTTTCAACACGTAGGCTAAAGTACCAGTTGTTATTATCACATGACAAATGAATTCACACACATACCTAGATAATATACTATTTCGGTAATGCAAGCTGTCAGTCAATGATAGTTCCCGTCGAGGAAAAGAGCTAATTCATTTTGTACATTGTCCATGTGGAACCTTACGTGCTGAATAGTCGTTGTTCCACGGACCGATATGAGTGTGACACAAGGTCCAGCCTTGAAAACAGTCTGTTCTGTTTACAACTATGTGATAAACTTCATATTTGTGAAATAAAGAAGCGCGGCTCAAAACGCGTGCATGTAGGCAACTGTTAGCAACATTTAGCTACGTGTTAGTACCGGTTGAGAACACGCAGCCCAGGAAAGATGGACGTTTTTCACCTTGGCTTTTGCTCTCAGTCCTGCTGACTGTCCAAAGCTCATAGCATAGGCAGGAATGTTGAGCTGATTAACGAATACCAGGAACACAACGCAGTGGGTTTCACTATTTCTTGATTTAAAGCCAGGCGGCTTGTCCGTAGACACCGGAGGAAATGAGCGGCCATAAGATGCTGTTTTCCGGGTTGAAGCTGTGGACAGCAGGAAGAAGTAGATGGATAAGTCGACTTCATGATGGTGAGGCGCTTTGTATTTAAACTAATAATGCTTAATGTATTATATTATATTATGAATAGTGGTGTCATTTCCCCTTGCTGTCTGTGAACTGCTCGTGAAATTGCCTGGGTAATTATATGGCAGTGCCCTCATCAGTGCTTCCTGTTTATTTCTGTTCTAAAGAGGATTTGTTTGTCTTCACTGATTCCGCAGATTGCAGCACGAAGGTGTGTATTGTAGGAAGCGGTCCAGCAGGTTTCTACACGGCGCAGCATTTGATCAAGGTATATATTTACTGTTTTGGTAATGTTGGAGTTTATATACAGTAAGCATTAGAAGTGGGCGACATCTACCACATTATATCTATCTATCTATCTATCTATCTATCTATCTATCTATCTATCTATATATATATATATATATATATATATATATATATCTCATTAAATGTTGCCATATTGATGTGTATGTAGTAACACTTCTGGGAAATTAGAAACTGGCATCCGACAAATCAAAGTACTTCTTATAAAAATGTACATAAAGCAGTCCTGCTCGCTGGTTTTACACATTTCCTACAATTACCTAATCTATCCCAGTATTTAACGGTGGCAACGCAGAGCACTTTTTCTTCTTTCTCCTACGTTTCAAATTATATTTATTCAGGATTAATTCAGTCTTATTTTAAAAGCCAGTGAAGTTGAAGACATTTCAGCTTGACCGTAAAATGAAAAAGTTCTTTCCCATAACTTCTGGCGTTTTGATATTCCAGTAGTGTTCATTTGTGAAGGTGTGTCGTTTTTCTTTTTTGACACAAAACATCTAGTTTCAACATTTCAGCCGACAGACCCACCTTGAACAAATAATCAAGTCAAAAGAGAAATGGGTGTGTGGCTCTTTGATGGTTTCCTTTGCACTTTTTTTTTTTTTTTTTTTTCTTTTTTTTTTTCTTCTCATCAACTTTCCGAATGCATAAAGAACAAAATGTAACACAAAGCCAACTTTTGAATCAATAAAGAACAGATCGAATCTGGCCACATGCTACTTTATTTTTTACTCCAACAGTAATTATTATTCACACGTCCCATTTTTAAAGTTTAACTGGTGCATAATAATACCTGTATGTCATTTTGTACTTTGTAGATTTGCCTGCCTCATCTTAAACTGGGCACCTGGATTCAACCGCCACCATTTCCCTGACGTCCTCTTAAATTAGAATCACAATCCCTTTCCCAGATCTTGCTTACATTTTAATTTGATGTGTCTCTAATTAGGGGTTTTGTCTCTTTTTAGTCGCGTTTTGCCTCTTCAACGGCGTTCATTGGACCTGTGAGGCCGTAGTTTTGTTTTGAGATAAACGATGAGTTGCGTTTGAGTCTGAACCAATGTGGTGAACCAACAGATGACTTCAAGTCAAATGAAGTCCCGTAACTCATCCTAAAGGGTCACGGTTTTACGAGGAGACTTCTTCAAAAGCATTGACAGCTGTGATCAAAAGGAGTCCGCTTTGCTTCATGTCGTGTGTCTCTCGTTCCTTTCTGTCCCCCCAGGCACGTCAAGATGTTGAGGTGGACATTTATGAGCGGCTGCCCGTCCCCTTCGGTCTGGTCAGGTTCGGGGTGGCCCCTGATCATCCTGAAGTCAAGGTCCGTGATCCTAAATGGACGTGTTGGAGAACAGATAGTTGTCCTTGACTACTTTGGTATTTACATTATAAGAACAGGGGCTCTGGGCAGGTACTGACGGAGCCCGCGGGCCTGCATTGATTGTGGTACGCTGTGATGAAAGGGTGACTTCCAAAAGAAAGCAACTGCCTACGTGATTAGCTTGTCCTCTGTGCGCCTTTGTGCCTTTGGGCACTGTGGCGCACGCAAATCATCAACTCCAGAACCTGCCTAAGAATCACCACATTTCCTTCAGTGTCAAAGTCATTTAGTGACAGTGGGTACATTGTAAACAAGAACTGCTCAAAGCTCATTTGGTCAATTCTTATCAGTACCACTGTAGGAGCAATCAAACCCTTTTTATTCTTTCTGTTTTGATAATGCAGATCTTTTCCTCTCCTCAGAACGTCATCAACACGTTCACGCAGACAGCCCGACAGTCGCGCTGTCATTTCTACGGTAACGTGAGTGTGGGGACGGATGTGAGCGTTGAGGAGCTGAGGCACGCCTACCACGCAGTCATACTGGTAAGAGCACCGCTGCGTCTGCCGGTAAAATAAATCACCTTTTAAATAAAAGTTGTTCTTGTCATTATTTATTTTGTTTGTAGAGTTACGGGGCCGAGGGAAACAGGAGTATGGGGGTGCCGGGAGAAGACTTGGCCGGGGTGCACGCTGCCAAAGACTTTGTGGGCTGGTACAACGGGCTGCCCAGCTGTCGAGAGGTACGCCTCATAGGCTGTGTCCGTCAACTAGTGGATGTTGACTGCGGTGTGACAAACGTCCTCCCACCGCACGTGAAATGTGATTATGAGAGAAGTCATATTTTCCCCCTCTCTGCTGTCGGTTCTGCTCCTTTTTTATCTTTATCTTTGTCCGTTCAGCTGAGACCAGACCTGAGCTGTGAAACGGCAGTCATTCTGGGACAGGGCAACGTGGCCTTGGATGTAGCCAGAGTCCTGTTGGCTCCCCTTGACATTTTGAAGGTGAGAAAAACACACAGCCTTCAGTTTGGCATCAAAAAGTATGTCTAATTGACTCTACAGCTCCTGAGGAAACCAGTTTTGTTTTTTTTTTTGTTTGTTTTTTTCAAAGGAGGAACAGGTTACTGAAGTGGAAAATGTGTCGTGTTTTTCCACAGAAGACTGACATTACCCAACCGGCCCTGGAAGCCCTGGCAGAGAGCCAGGTCCGCAGGGTGCTGATCGTTGGCAGGAGAGGACCCATGCAGGTGGCTTGCACAATCAAGGTGTGCGTCAGAAGAGACAGTTTCTTAGAGAGCGGACAGGCAAATCCTTCAGCTGTAGTCATCGTCTTTCTTTAATACCATGACTCTAACCAAAGTTTTTTTTTTTTTCAAAATGTGACATTCATTCAACCACAACAACACACCACAACATACTGCTTTCAACTTTGACCTACCGTACCTGCTGTCGCTGTGCACAGTTGTCCTGGGGAATAGAGTTCTTCAGGAATGTGTTCTGCTTTCCTCGTCTCAAAGACAAGTTTCTTTTAATTGCTTAGATTCCTGAAAGCTTAAGAGATTTTAACGTTTTGTAGAATAAGTCAGTAACCTATTATATCACCAGGCCTTGGCATGTAGTTGATGGGTAAGGGATTGGACATTCCTTTAACCAGCAATTTGGGTTGTTGGGGTTTTTCCTGCAGGGTCTTAAAACTTTGAGGTTTATGATCACTTTCATAGTTCATAGTCATGAACTATGAAGCTTTTACGTGTCTCGCAGTTGCTAAGAAGTGACTGAATATGGCTGCTAAACGTCATCGGGCTAATCTGCCCTCTCGTTGACAACACGGTGCTCCTCTCTCCAACTCTCACTCACGAGTCACATGACACAATCGGACCGGATCAACAGAAACGTAAAGAGAAATGTTTTTATTTCTCTATGGGGTCTGTCCATAATGCTGTCAGACACACTTATAACATTGATGATGCCGAATTGCACGGCAGCCCTCTAAGCGGCTGCAGAGTTGTCACCCAGTGCTGCACCGATTCCAAAGCTTGTTGTGCCCGTTAGTCATTTAGACACAAAAACATGAAGAATAGGGTCCAGGTTAAAGATAAAATACAGCTTTTAAATGAGTTTCGAGTGCCGCCCAGACAACCCCTGCTATGCTCTCCTTGTCTACAGGAGCTGAGAGAAATGGTGAACCTGCCGAACACCAGACCTGAGTTGATGGCGGCAGATTTTGAGGGCGTCGCAGAGGCTCTCAAAGGTAGGAAATGAGATTGTATCTTCATATTTCACTTCCTTTTTGACTGCCTCGCCATCATTCCGCTCTCTTCTTGAACCAGTGTGGAGACCAGGGCCTAAGAATGAGCATAGTGCACATCTCGA